TTGTATATATATATATATATATATAGAGAGAGAGAGAGAGAGAGAGAGAGTTGAAGTGGACTTGAGCTAGAGTTTCTTAAACAAGTGGGTAGATGTTGTTCATGTTCACATTGAGAGTTCAACTGGATGTTAGCTAAAGTTTCAGGTTTTTACGTACATTTGAGCCCAATTCTTTACATTAGGTGTCTGTAACTCGTTGGTGATAAATTTGAACAATAAACAAAGAGCAGTCAACTTGCTTTAAAATAATATATGAAAAACAAGTTAAATGTATATACAAAATTTCACCTAACTATTGATTTCTGCCATTGTATTCAGAGCTTTAAATAATTTCCTTTTTTCATCAAAAGTCCACACAGGTTTGTTCAATTACTTTAGAAAATAATTGTCAAGACAAATTATTCTTCTCTGCTCTGTTATTACAATATAGTCTGTGATAAGTTTACTTACATTACACTGTTCAGTTGTATCCAGAGCTTTAAATAATTGTCTATTTTCATCAAAAGACCACACAGGCTGGATCAGTTATATTAGAACCCAATTGACAAGACAAATTTCCTTCTCTGCTCATTTGTTACAATAATTTCACTTTAAAATCACCTATATATGCTTTTTATGGTTAATCTCACAAACACACACACAGTCTATATCTCTCACTAACTTCACTTGCTTTCACTTAACTTTGTTTTGCTTAACTTCTTGAACTGCATTTTGGATGCATATTTATAAATAGCCTGGTTGAAGCCTAGAACTTTCCACACACACTATGACAAATTATAATGTAATAGTACTTAAGAAAAACTTAGAAAACATGACACAATAATACAACAATCACCAATTTATGACAGTTTAACTACACAGCATATGATTACCACAGTTACATAACCTGTGATAAACTGTTGCTTCTAGAAGTAACTAAATTTAACACTCGAGCTATATTTAAAATAAAACAGGCATATACATTTAACATAGTTTCTCAAACATGTGGGTAGAAGTCTATATAGAGTTAAACTGGATATAAGACAGAGTTTCTTAAATATGTAGATAGATGATGTTCGTGTTTATATATAGTTGAACTGGATGTGAGCTACAGTTTCTAAAATGTGGTCAGATGTTGTTCATGTTTATATAATTTTATTAAAGAATAACTTATATTTTATTTATTTTTATAGAAAAAAGCAACTACACCTCTTAAATTGGGATATTATAGTGATGTATAATGGTTTTTCAAGAATATTTTTGATGCTGTGCCTAAAGTAACATGCTGTCAGTAATTTACAAAATAAAGTGAAAAATTGGCTTTATATTTAATCAAAAGAATTAATATTGTCAACTGTTGTGGAGTTTCCTGTGGATATTGTCATAGTTGTGTGAATGAATTTTTGTTTTTTTTCAGTTGATCATGTGATTCATAATGAGTTTTATTAAGCTAAAATGAAAAATATCTTGCAAAATCTTGATGCTAGTTTTTCCATTTCAGCTCACTATCAAAGCGTGTGACAAAGGAAATCCTCCCAAATGCACGGAAGATGAAAAAGGATCAGATCACATGCATGCAAAAATTAAAGTTATTGTTCGTAATAAAGATGACACACTACCTCAGTTTCGTAGTAGAACTGTAAGTTGTATTTTTTGATATAACAATTAACAAGTATTTGTAGTGATTACAAGTGATTATAATGAAAGTTAAAAACAGTAACTATTATTTTCTCCAAGTTCAACATTTCAATTCATCATTGTTAATATTTTACAATTTAATAAATTGTTTGTATATTAAACCATTTTATTTTTTATGTTATAATGTCTGATGTATATTGTTTCTTTTCTTATATGATGACTTATAGGTTAGTTTACGCTATACTTTACAGGATGATCCACCTCTTAGTGATATGCATATCATTTATTACTTTAAATGATAACACTATTTCTAAGTTTGATTCATTCACTGTTTCTTCTTCCTGATATCACTTTTTATCACCATTTTTTAGTATGTCTATTCCAGCAATCATTGGTTAACTGTATTTGTTGGTTATTTATACCTGGGATCTTCCACAGGCCTTGAGTTAACATTGTGTTTTCTTCACTACTGACATGTGAAAAATCACATTTTTCTTCCTCAATCGAATAATTGTCACTTGATACTGATATGTTCTGATGTTTTTGTTTAATACATCTTTGTGCAGCGAAATTCTTATATCTTAGCTATAAACATTGGAAGTTCCAGAAATGTTGACATAGATGAATATAACAGGGTTTTGTCTAAAAGTTCATGCCATTTTACTCTATCCAGACCCATCATATAATTAGAAGTTTTCTGTATCAATATTCTGACACCTTAAAACTTACCCATAGGATTCCATGGTATGACTTTGTACTTTAGATAGTCAGTTTAATACTACCCAAGTGTCCTTTCTATGTTGGTATTTTTATCTTACCTTTTATGAAAGTAAAGATCAGTGGTACACTGTATGGCCAAATGTTTTGTTGTCACTTTAATAGTACCATGTGGCATAGGTAATATCATATGACATAGAGAGTACCATGGTGCATAGGTAATATCATATGACATAGAGAGTACCATGTTGCATAGGTAATATCATATGACATAGAGAGTACCATGTTGCATAGGTAATATCATATGACATAAAGAGTACTATGTGGCAGTAATAATATTATGTGGCATAAATAGTACCATGTGGCAGTGGTAATATCAATTTGACATAAATAGTACCATGTGGCAGGGGTAATATCAATTTGACATAAATAGTATATGTGGCAGTGGTAATATCATATATATGACATAAATAGTACCATGTGGCAGTGGTAATAACAATTTGACATAAATAGTACCATGTGGCAGTGGTAAAATCATATATATGACATAAATAGTACCATGTGGCAGTGGTAATATCATAGTGTTGCGTCATCGAGATCACGTGACTGGTGTGGCGCCACCTATTTTCTAGAACTATCCTGTACCTTGGCGAATGCTCTAGTATTTACTAGATATAGGGTAGTCTGGTATATAAAAGAGGGTGACAACGTGACGGGAAGACAATTAATGTGTGTGTACATAATGAGTAATTGAACTGCAGTCAGAAGTATTGTTGACATAGCGTTTGTTATAGAGCGACTGTTGAAAATAAGTGTATCGTAGAGTTGTATTCGGAAAGAATAAACCAGTTTTATTAAGTAAGGACTTTTGTCGCTAAAGTTTCGTCGGAACGAAGTTACGGAAAGTTAATTAACAAACTGAGATGTAACAAATTGGTGTCAGAAGTGGGATAAAAAGAAAATGGAAACGAGAAGCGGCAAATCAAACTACAGCCTAGCAGACTTAATGGCAGCAATACACGAACAGCAAAAGAAACAAGAAGAACGAGAAGAGAAATTACAACAGTTGTTAGAGGAAAAAGAAAAGAAACAAGAAGAATGAGAAATTAAACAAGAAGAACGAGAAGAGAAATTACAACAGTTGTTAGAGGAAAAAGAAAAGAAACAAGAAGAATGAGAAATTAAACAAGAAGAACGAGAAATTAAACAAAAAGAGAGATTACAGCAGTTGTT